CCCCAAAACCCCAAAACCCCACCACAAGATATTATTAAGCATTTTAAAAGCAAATTTTTATATTATAAATTATTATATCAAATGGAAAGATAAATGACTAAAAGCACTGCAAATACTTCTAATAGCAATGGTATACAATATTTTATTTAAATCATCTTAGTAGGCTAACTTATTACAAATAAGGAGAAATCCAATGATAAGTCATGGGTTAACTTTAAATTTGAAGAAGATAGTAAGATATAGTCCTAAGAAAATAGAATCAAGCATTAAATTGTGGCGGATAAAAAGCCTACCCATAATTTGTTGGAATAAAAACAATTAAATGAAAAATAGAGTAGTAAAGAATAGAAATCTCAAGTTCAACAAGAGAAGACTGCCAAAGGATCATTATAATTTGAGGTTATTGATGAAAATATTGTCATCTTAGGAGGATGGCTATAGGTCTCAGTCAACTTAGGAAATCTGCTCAATGAATAAGTAGATGCTATTACAAATGCTGCAAATGAATATTTGTAGCATGGAGCTGGAGTTGCTAGGGCTATTGCTGACAAAGGAGGACCGTAAGCAATAGAATCAGTATTTTTATCTTCCATAGTCAAATCTAAATTGAGTCAGATGAATGGGTACTGAATAATGGCAAGGTAGACACTGGTACAGCTAGAGGATTTACTTCAGCAGGAGAAATGACTAATTGTAAATATGTTATTCATGCAGTAGGACCTGTGTGGACTGATGTAAGATAATCCTAAATTATTTTCAATTAGGGTTACAGAGACGATGAGAGTTTGCTTTATAATTGTGTGTATGATACTTTAAAGACAGCAACCAAACTTTGCTGCAAGTCTGTTTCTCTGCCAGCTATTTCATCAGGTCTATTTAGATTTCCTATAAAACTTTGCGTAAGATATTTTTTCAGTGCGGTAGAGGACTTTTGTTACTAAAATAACCCCGAAAATGTTTCATTGAGAAAGATAAGGTTTACTAATTTTGATGAGCCAACAGTAATTGAGTTTCAATAAGAATTCCTTTGGAGATATTCTGTCAGAAAGGAATGTTATCCATTGACAGGAAAAGATAATTTAGGAGATAAACACAAGAATGAAGAGGCATTAAAATTATTAGAGAATCGTAATGAGGAAGTGAGTCAATTCTATTAAGCAAATCCAAGATAATAAAAAAAGTCTTGGGAATAGGCTTGCTATATGTTAGATCTTTTCGAGAAAAAATATAGGAGAAAATTACAAAATAATTAAGAAGGTAGAGAATAAAATAGTAGTAATTCTTACAAATATTATAACAGGCAATATCAGAATAGAAAAAAAGATAATTATACTGGCTAAGAGAAAAATTATTAGAAAAAACACTACGAGCAATAGAATATAGATGGCAAAAAAATCAATGAGGAAAAAAAGAATAGCTAAGGTTATAAGTAAAGCTAAATCAACTCATATTTTGGAAATAAGCAGTCAGCAGATGATAATAAATATTCTCATAAATAATAGTAATTTAGAAATGAGCAGAAGTAATACAATCAAAACTTTTAGCCATATAGCAGCAAATAGAATAACTTCTAAATTGAATAAGATAATTTTAGCTCTAATTAAATGAAGAATGATTAAAGGAAAAAATCAAAAAATAATGAAGATATGACAATGAATGATGACTACCAAGGAGCTTCAAATTAGGGAAGATAAGTTTATTTTAAGAAATAATAGTGATTTTGCAATGCTAATTGATTTAATATCTGGCTATTGATGCTGATAACTAACTTTATAATTAGTTATGGATTTAATTACTTTCATATTTATCCTATCTAATGAATACGGGGTTTTGGGGTTTTGGGG